AATATATATACTGCTTCGACCAAAAAGAAAATCTTTTCAAGAAGTGTTGAACATCCAACACAAAAGAGCCTGTAAAAATCAAAAATGGTCGAGTTCGGGAGTCACAGAACATTCTAGAACGTTTTTTCATTACCTGATGATTCTGACCACAATAGGTCAGCAAAATATTGTTAATATATTATTATGTCAAAATATATTTTAAAAATAGTTATATGCTGCCTTTTTTATTGAGATCAATTTATTTATATATATATATATATATAATATATATATATATATATATATATATATATATATATATATATATATATATATATATATACATACATACATATATATATATATATATATACATACATATATATATATATATATATATATATATACATATATATATATATATATATATATATATATATATATATATATACATACGCATATATAAACATATATATATATATATATATATATATATATATACATATATATATATATATATATATATATATATATATATATATATATATATATATATATATATATATATACATACGCATATATATACATACGCATATATAAACATATATATATATATATATATATATATATATATATATATATATATATATATATATATATATATATATATATATATATATACATACGCATATATATACATATATATATATATACATATACATGTATATACATATATCATTTGATGCAAGGTTGTATTGAAATAAAACATTAATATATTTATAAAATTATATATATATTTATATATATATATATATATATGTATATATATATATATATATATATATATATATATATATATATATATATATATATATATATATATAATTTATAAACAAAGAAAATACATTTTTTGTTACTAATAGTTTTATGCCTAAAGGCAATCATCAGCCATGTAATACAAATCAAGAAACAAAACTGGTAAAATATAAAATTACAGTAGAGTGTGCTCTGTCGTCAAAACAAAAAACAACAAAAAGATAAGAAAAAAATGAAAATCTAAAAATAGCTGCCTAATCATCTGTATTGAATTTTGCCAGAAGATATTTTCTTTTATGTGTACATTTAGATATGTATATATATATATATATATATATATATATATATATTATATATATATATATATATATATATATATATATATATATGCAGTTTTATTTATAAATAATACATGTAAATACAGCTCTTTTTTAATTTAAATCATTTTCATTTACTTTAATTTATTGAGCACTCTCAGGACGATATATGCAAGCACTAATACATATACTTACTTAATACATATTGGTGTGCATTGCCAAGGCCACATGGGAGCCCTTTATTACGGTTTAGGGTTTATTAGTAGTAATGAGGCAATTGCTTGGGCTATAAAACAGTGTACTGAGTACTATCTATGTTTCGAGTCAAGTTCTATAACAAATTTAAAAATGATTAAAGTAATAAAAACTATAAAACACAAAAAAACACAGTCATCACCAAGTTCGCTAAACCTATCATTCACTAATATTTGTGGTCTTCAAAGTAACTTTTCTTCTGTTGAGTCTTATCTTTTGCAAAGTTCACCAGACCTACTTGCTCTTTGTGAGACTAATTTGAGTTCAGCTATCTCATCTTGTGATCTTAGTGTTGATGGTTATCTTCCTTTAATTCGTGAAGACTCCGATAGTCAAATGCTTGGCATTCATAAGAATTCACCCATTAGTCAGGAAACTAGGTTTGAATCCACAGACTACTCTTTTATGTGCTTTCGTTTAGCACCACTTCACTCTATCACCTTTCTTTTTGTTCTATATCGCTCTCCTTCATCTCAAGACTGCACTTTTCTTGATGTTATTTCTGATCATATTGACCAAGCCCTCTCTCTTTATCCATCAGCCATTATTGTTGTTGTCGGTGACTTTAATGTTTATCACACTGAATGGCTTGGCTCTAGTGTCAGTGACTCTGCAGGCAGCAAAGCCCACAACTTTTGCCTTTCTCAATCCCTAACTCAAATAGTTAACTTTCCAGACAATCCAAATCATTTACCTCCTCTACTCGACTTATGTCTTGTTTCTTATACTAGTCAGTGCTCAGTTTCTCCACACTCACCCTAAGGTACTTCTGATCATGGTTTGGTCTCTCTAAAACTATTATCTCATTCTTCTTTACCATCAGATTTCCCCTATAATCATACATCTTACAACTACCTTAAAGCTGACTGGGACTCTTTCCGTGATTTTTTTTGTGATTGCCCTTGGGTAGAAATCTTTCGTCTTCCTGTTGACAAATATGCTTCTTACATAAATTCGATGATTCAGGCTGGCATGGAATCCTTTATTCCCTCTTGATGATTCCAGGTCAAGCCTCACTCTTCTCCATGGTTTTCCTCACATTTTGCTGCTGCAATTGCCAATTGAAACCATTACTTCCATATCTATCAGCAAAACAATTCTCTAGAAAAGAGATGTTTGTTTATTACTGCTAGGAACCATTGTAAAAAGGTTTTGTCTATCGCCAAAGCCCGCTATTTTCAGATCATGAAATCTCGTATTTTATCACAAAAATTAGGCTCTCATGACTTCTGAAGAATCTTTAATAGTATCAATAATAAGGGCAAGTCTGTAATTCCACCTCTTATGTATGGTTCAGACTTTGTCACCTCACTTAAAGACGAAGCTAAATTGTTTGTAGTTTTTAATTAAGACTCATCAAAAATTTTATTCCTGATGAGTCTTGTTGATAAAATACAGTGTTAAATGTTTAGGCAGCTATTTTTAGATTTTCCTTTTTTTTCTTATCTTTTTGTTGTTTATTGTTTTTACAACAAAATGAAACATATTTTTATTTAGATTTAATTTAACATCAAGGTAGTTAACAATTTTTAAATTACATTGAATGGTGATTTGAAGATCATTTCTTTTAAAATAGGCCTTAAATGGTTTTTGATTTTATCCATTTGCTGACCATTTTGGTTCTTAAGTATGGCAAGACACAAGTCATCACAATATAAGGCAAAATCTTCTTTTTTATAATGCTGTGAAATTTGATACAGTATGAAAAAACTTATTAATTAGCAAACTTCAGCACCATCAAATGCCCCCATCGTTACATCGAACAATCCACCTCTTTTTTTAACCCATTCTTTGTCGTTGTTGTAGATAAGGGATTTTCTTGCATGCTTTATAAATGCTTTGTCTTCTCTTTTGATAACAATATGTTGGTCAGCAAAATTCATATAATTCTTGAGGATGTTTTCATTTACGAAAGGTAAAAATCATTAACATCAAAAACTAGGAATTTGTATAGAGCTTATTGGTAATTTTATGTACTTTGCCATTGATTCAAAATTTATTTTTAAGTTCACAATTAATTTTTGTTAAATTTAATTTAGTAATTTATCTTACCTCATTTTTTGAAGGATTCAAAAGGCACACGGATGGGTTGTTAACGAAGTTTTCCTTTATTCAATAATTTCAATAATTAATTACTAAATCTACTTACAAAATAACTCAACAATTTAACAATAAAACGCAAATTTTTTTTATTTAATGAGATCTTAATTTATCAAATTATAATTTTCATTTAATATAAAACCATTTTAAAAATCAAGTTTCAAATTTATTAATAAAGATACATACTTAGGTCTAACCTTTAGCAAGCTAAAAAAAACATAACTATAGTATAACAGAAAATAATTTATAAATAAAATAATTTTTAATTACCTGGTCCATTTTTATCACTAAAAAGTTAAATATATAATCAATGAAATACTTTTTATCATTTTTAAAAAAAAGTTTTTTTTTTTAATTATGCTTGAGTTAAAAATTGTTAAAAACCTTAATTGTTCTATATATTGCATCTTAATATATATATTTCTATATATATATATATATATATATATATATATATATATATATATATATATATATATATATATATATATATATATATATATATATATATGTATATATATATATATATATATATATATATATATATATATATGATTTCTGATGAGTCTTTATTGATGAAACACAGTGTTAAATGAGAAAAAATTTTGTTAAGTGATTTTCTACTAATTTATATATATATATATATATATATATATATATATATATATATATATATATATATATATATATACATATGTATGTATATATGTATGTATATGTATATATGTATATATATGTATATATGTATATATATGTATATATATATATATGTATATATATATATGCATATATAAATATTTATATATATATATATATATATATATATATATATATATATATATATATATATATATACATCAAAACATATCTAAAATTAAAAAAATTAGTTTACTATATTAAAATTATAAAAAAATTAGTTTATTATATTATTATATTAAAAACAAGTTTTTATTTCATATTTAAACTAAAATATAATAAAATTAGCTAATGTAAAGATGTAATATTGACAAATAAAATAAAAAAATTAGAAGTACAAAATACCATTAAACCAAAGCAGAGTTTCTAATTTTATTTAAATAGTTTTCACAAAAATATATTTACATTTTAGTTAAATAAGTACTAAAGCATTTTGAAATGTGCAGATAATCATTCAATTGTATATACATTCAAAAGATTAATTTTCTTGAATATTGACAAATAGTAATAAAATAATAATTTTAAACACCATTTGAGTATACATTTAACATTAGAAGTATACAACTATATATATATATATATATATATATATATATATATATATATATATATATATATATATATATATATATATATATATATATCTTTACACACAAAGTAAGCTCCAGATAACTTGAATTTCCAGTTACAAAAACAGAAATTTTACAACCCTACAAGGGTTGTAAAATTTCTGTTTGAAGACTCTCATAAAAATTACTTGAAAAAATAAACATTAGTTGAACCATTTTATTCCTTTGAGTTATCAATTTTAAGATCTTTTAATTTTTTTTTTTTTAGATCCATGATGTTATAGTAATGCAACCTATAAAAATATTTGTATTTTCCATACTTGCTGCACTCGCTTCCAAAGCTATAATAAGCAAAGAACGGTATATGCTTTACATGCGAGGTGAATGTGTTTTTATATAATGATTTTTATAGTATTTTATTTTAAGAAGATAATGTTTATAATTTACAAATTAGAGTTTTTTGCTTAATTTAATAATTATTACTGATGGTGTATGAAAATTTAGGAAAAATGCTTGCTTGCAATGAAAATTGGCTTCATAGTACTAAGAATAAAGAAGCAATTGTTAAAAGAATCGATGATAACAGGATGCCTCCTCCAGCCTCTTTAATTGAAAGTATGAAAGCAGCCCATTTAAAGGAGGTCAAGATGCAAACAATTACTCGGGAGCTGTTAGTATACATCTTGTTTTCTATAGTAGTATTTTATCTTGGTTATATATCACGTGGAAGTTTTGCATATTATCAAACACATGATATAGAAGAACTGTTTAATTTAAAATTGAGATCTAAAGCTAAAAATGATAAATTTAAAGTTTTTGAAACGGTAATTTATACAATTTATACATTTTTATAAAATTTATGTAAATTTATTTAATTTATGTTTAACTTATGTTTAATTTTTATTTTTATTAATAAATTTGTTAATTGTTTATTTGTGCATACACCATTCAACACATGCATAATGCGCATACAACATATTTTATCTTTGTGTTAAGTTTCACAATTGGTTATTTTTACAATATGCAGTATGTTTTAAAGTTGTATTCTCTTTGATATCCTAAATAATTAATCTCTTTAACATCTTGGACTGCTAATTAGAAGTTTGATTCCTATTTATTTAAGGCAACAGGCCTATTTATTCAAAATGCAACATCCAAAATAGCGTAATATCATCCGTTCATAGCATAATTTGTGAGGCAAATAATAGGCTTCTACTCAGCGAGTAGAAGCCTATTAATTGCCTCCCAAATTATGTTATGAATAAAAATTTATAAAAAACTGTATTGGGTTGTTATAAATTGACTTATGTGTGATTAGTTTATATAGTATTTACAATACTTTTATAAGTTTTACCGATGTTAAATAAAGTTAAAATAAATAATTAAATAAATTCCATGTTAATTGAATGTTATTTAAATGTTAATTAAATAGTTATGTATTAAAAAAAATTAAGTTATATAAATTAATTATGTCAATTTATGTTAGTTATGCAAATTTATGTGAATTGTGTCAATTTATGTTAATTATGTCAATTTATGTTAAATATGTTATCTATGTAAGTTATGTTAACTGGTTAATGTTTTACTTCTTTGCTTTTTTATTAATTAACAAATTATTTTTACTACTTGGTGTGTATTAAATTACATTAATTACATTAAATTACAATTTCTCTTAAATCACTTACATGTAAAAATAATTTTTTTAAATCACATATGTTATAATAATTACATACTATAATAGTTATATATGTAATAATGATTATATATGTAATTATTATTACATATCTAATTATTGTTACATATCTAATTATTATAATATATCTAATATTATAATAAAAATTAGTCTTAAATACAAAATATATATAGAAAAAATATAAATAAATTTAGGTGCAATTAAAAACTAAACATCTACAAAAAGTGTAAGCATGTAATAAAATATACAGTGTAAGCATGTAATAAAATATCAGGTAATTTATAATGAAATATGAATAAGTAACATATAAGACATGATTTTTAAACAATGTGTTATTTTAATATCAATAAACGTAATAAAAGAAATTAAAATCATAAATTTTTTTTTTTTTTTTTTTTTTATATATATTTTTTTTTTTTTCTTTTGTTTTAACCACAAACTTACACACAGATAAATAAATTACCTGCAGTACAATGATATAATATAAAATAATTTTTTTTTAATTAATTACTTTTATTTTTTGAATAAAATGAACCTAAAAATAAAATATTCCTTTAACTTTTAAGCTTTTTATTTAATTTTTGAAATTTTTAAGAAATTATCATAAATTAAATACTTTCTAAGCCTGTATTTATTTCAGAGCTAATGCTGATGGTCCTTTCTTTTGATCCATCTGCCAATATTTTTGTTTTTGTTCATATGACAATCTTCAGTTAAAATTATTTTTTTATAGTCATCTAGAATCTATCTTGAATGTGATCTCTCTTTTGTGACAACAAAGGGCTTGTAGTGGTTTGTGAATTTTAACCTAAAAGTAATAAAGGTGTTTGCTATTTATTTATTTAATCATTTTTTCTGAAGTCTGCAATCTAAAGAATAACAAAAATAATGGCAGATTAAAAATTTAAAACAAAACAAAAATTTTTATCATAACTAATAAAATCCCCATCTGTCAAAATTGCTTAAAAATATTTGTTTCCAAAAAAATTTTAAGTTAAATTGAAGAGCCCATTTACTATATCTGTGTATATATATATATATATATATATATATATATATATATATATATATATATATATATATATATATATATATATATATATATATATATATATATATATATATATATATATATATATAGGGTGTTAACCAGGACAGCATTTTGGCAAAATTGGGATTTTTATAAAATATTTTTCAATCAATAGCTCCCCATCTACCCCCCGCCACCATTCCTGTAATTATAATGTGTTCCAGGAATGTGTGGGTCCTTTTTTTATCTTCTTTCCTTTTTACTCCACTTATAAAATAAAATAAAAAGTTTCTTATTTGATACACGAGCAAATTGAGAAAGCAACTAATATTTTAAATCAATAATACAATTCTTAAACACGAACATATTTTGATTGTTATCTATTTATAAACAAAAGGGAAAATACTTTTATAAATACTCCTAAAATAATCTTTAATGTTAAATATGAATGTTAGCGCAAGTAAACAACTTTATATATTTTTTTTAACTTTCCTAGATGAAGAAGTTAATTATAAAACATCTTGTAAAAAGATAAAAACTAATATAAATTCTCGTATAAGATAAAACAGTTTGCCTTATTAATTAGACACACTGTTTTGTTTTTTATATTATATAATAACAACTCAGAGGTAAATTAAATATTTAAATTATATTAATTAACTCTGATGTTAGGATTTCTTTTTTTTTCCAGCTCCTCTACAAAACTTTCTAGAGCCTCATCTTCGAATCCTTGTTCAGGACTTTTGGTTGATATCATCAAAAGACTTTTGAGTATACTCTGAGACAACTGGTTGCGTAGTCAATTTTTTACAAGTTTTAATTTAGAAAACAGCCTTTCTACACAACCAACATTTATTGGAAAAAATATGCAGTTACTATATAAATCCTGATTTAAACTAGTTCTTTTTAAACCAGTCCGTAGGGATTGAGCACAGTATGACTCTCGTTTTTTCTTTAACTCTTGTCACTTTTGTTCAGTGGATGCATTAAGTGTTTCTAAATCAAAACGTGTTTCCCACTCCTTTTGCATTGAAAATATTAAATATTTAAAACCCTTAAATTCGACTTTCGTTTTCTCCGGGTTCCATCTCTGTATTGTTGCACCGTCTGACTGAATTGATTACTTTCACAAAGGTTCTCATAGTGATTTTTTTTTTTTTTTACATCTTCGCTTCCAACAAGGCTGCAAGCAACCCTAATTAGTGTTGAAAGTTACTGGAAGAGAAAAGATGAAGACTGTAGAGAAGGATAACAATTGACAGACGACTTTTAAGATTGCAAATTATATGAATCAGGAAAGCAAGATGAAGAAAGCAAATTCCAAAAAATTGATATTCAAAGAAAAAAACTAGAGGAATAAGAGTTTTTGAAGCACTTAGGAACAGTCACAGAAAAAGGATAAGACTAAATTAAATGATGATTAAAACAAGAATAAATTTTAGTAGATAGTACAAGAGACGCCAGCTCTTTAGAGCAGTGCCCATTATAGTATTTGTAGAAAAAGGAATGAGAAGCAACATTATGTTGATGTGATAATGGTTGAAGGTTGGCTGCAAGAGCAGGTCCAACTATGTTTACAATGCGTTTTTGCACCTTGTCTAAAAGAGAAAGGGCATCATCAGAAGATCCGCCCCAGATATAGTAAGATTTTTCTATAAAAGGCTGGATTTGAGATTTATAGAGATAGAGAATAGAACCCAGAGTAAGAAATTGTTGAGCTCAATAAAGAGATGCAACTTTAGCAGATGCTAATTTTGTAACGGATTTGATATATGGTTTCCAAGAAAGATCAGAAGTAAGAGTCAATCCTAGAAGTTGAAGGGTAGATGACTCATCGAGAACATTACCATTCATAAATATAGGAAGGTCTAAATTATTGCAATAAGGATTGGCTGAAAAAAATTGAGTTTTATCTGAATTAAAGTTCACCAGCCACTGTGAGCCCCATCCTGTAGCAGAAGTGAGATCCTTTTCAAGCTCAAATGCCCCCTTCAAGCAATCAGATAGAGTTTGCTTCTTATCATGACAAGAATAAGTGGTAGTATCATCAGCAAACAATACCACCATAGATGTGAGAATATCTAGAAGATCGTTAAGTATGCAAAAATCTATCAAAGGCTTTAGAAATTTCAAGAGCGATGGTCTTAACCTCACAACCTTTATCTAATGCGCAATAAAACTTATGGGTTAATACTGTTAGCAAATCAACCATAGAGGGAGAAGATCGAAATTCATATTGATGATCAGAAAGTAAGTTATTAGATTCAAGATGAGAGTTTAAGTGTTTGTTAATTAAAGATTCAAAAACCTTGCTTATGATAGGAAAAAGACTAATAGGATGGTAGGATGGTAGTTAGACGAATCAGATCACTCTCCAGAATTTTAAAAAATAGAGATAACAGATGCTGCTTTCCAGCTAGCTGGAAAACGAGACTCTGATAAGCACTTGTTGAATAGTTTTAAAAGGGTAGGCGACAGCTCCACGGAACTCTTCTGAAAGACTATAACAAGTATGTTGTCTGAGCTACAAGCTGTAGAATAGTCTAGCAGAAAATCACTTTAGATGTAGTGATACGGATGTCAAGCATTGGATCAACCTGTTTGACGGCTATATCAGGTAGAACGCAACTAGTGGAATCAAGAGATGATATTGATGAAAGTTCATTGCAAACAATTAAAACTTTGTCTTTAGGTGAGGTGACATAAGTCTGAACCATACAAAAGAGGTGGAATTACAGACTTGCCTTTATTATTGAAACTATTAAAGATTCTCCAGAAGTCATGAGAGTCTAATTTTATCATTTTGTGATAAAATACAAGATTTCATGACCTGAGAATAGCGGGCTTAGGCATTAGACAAAACCTTTTTACAATGGTTCCTAGCAGTAATAAACTGACGTTGTTTTCTGGAGAATTGTTTTGCTGATAGATATGGAAGTAATTGTTTCGATTGGCAATTGCAGCAGCACAATGTGAAGAAAACCATGAAGAAAAGTGAGGCTTGACCTGGAATCGTCAAGAGGGAATAAAAGATTCTATGCCAGCCTGAATCCACGAAAGTTATGTAAGAAGCAAATTTGTCAACAGGAAGATGAAAGATTTCTATCCAAGGGCCATCACGAAGAAAATCATGGAAAGAGTCCCAGTCAGCTTTATGATAGTTGTAAGATGTACAATAATGATAAAGAAGAATGAGATTCTGATGATAAAGAAGAATGAGATTCTGATGATAAAGAAGAATGAGATAATAGTTTTAGAGAGATCTAACTGTGATCAGAGACACCTAAGGGTGAATGTCAAGAAACTGAGCACTGTCTAAGATCAGAAGCAAGACATAAGTCGAGTAAAGTAGGTAAATGATTTGGGTTGTCAGGAAAGCGAGTTGGAAAGATGACTATTTGAGTTAGGGATTAAGAAAAGCAAAAGTTGTGGGCTTTAATGCCTGCAGAGTCACTGATTCTAGAGCCAAGCCATTCAGTGTGATGAGCATTAAAGTCACCAACAACCACAATATTGGCTGATGGATGAAGAGAGAGGACTTGGTCAATATGATCAAAAATAACATCAAGAAGAGTGCTGTTTTGAGATGACAGAGAGCTATATCAAACAAAGAGAAAGATAGTAGAGCGAAGTGGTGTTAAATGAAAGCACTGAAGTGGTGACAAATGGGTAAATACTTACGAAAGTAAATGCTCAGACCAAGCATGTGACTAATGGAGTTGGTGGTCTTCTCCATAAGCGTTCTTTTTACAGTGTATCTGGATTATTGAATCGTTCCTTTCCAATCGTAGTATTGAAGTTGCCCTTGATGGACAGCACTCTTCTTCTTGTTCTTTAACCTCAGGGGTTCCTCAAGGTTCAATGCTTGGCACTATACTTTTTTTAGTTTACATTAATGATCTTCCAGGTATTCTCACATCTAAGGTGGTATTGTTCGCTGATGATACTACCCTTTATTCTTGTCACTATAAGAAGCCAACTCCATCTGATTGCTTGCAGGGGGCATTTGAGCTTGAAAAGGATCTCACTGCTACAGCATGGGGCTCACAGTGGCTGGTGAATCTTAATTCAGATAAAACTCTGAATTAAGATTCACCAGCCACTGTGAATGGCTGATCCACCAGCCACTATGAATTGCGATAATGATTAGCTAAAAAATTTTTTTAGCTAATCATTATCGCAATAATCTAGACGTTCTTATATTTATGAAGGATAATGTACATCTACCCTCATCTTCTAGGATTGACTCTTACTTCTGATCCTTCTTCGAAATCATATATCAAATCTGTTGTAAAATTAGCATCTGCTAAAGTTGCATCTCTTTATCAAGCTCCACACTTTCTTACTCTGGATTCTATTCTCTATCTCTATAAATCTCAAATCTGGCCTTGTATAGAATACTGTTGCCATATCTGGGACCGATCTTCTAATGATGTCCTTTCTCTTTTAGACAAGGTGTAAAAATGCATTGTAAACATAGTTAGACCTGCTCTTGCAGCCAACCTTCAACCTTTGTCACATCGTCGTAATGTTGCTTCTCTTTCTCATTTCTACAATTACTATAATGGGCACTGCTTTAAAAAGCTAGCGTCTCTTGTGCAATCTAATAAAATTCATTCTCGTGTTACTCATCATTCAATCAAGTCTCATCCTTTTTCTGTGAGTGTTATAATAATAATATATAATATAGATATATACATAGGTGATATATAGGTAGCATTTTCCGGTGCATATAGTAGATGAGATTGTACATCTTTTTCCCCACATTGTGCAATAAGCTCTAATAACTCTCTAAAGTTATGAATATGAACCCAATTTTTTATGATAAGTAAATGAGTTATGTGAAAAAAAGAATTCAAGAAAAATCTTGTTTTTGAATCTTTAACATTTTTTTGTAGAAGATTATTTTCACAAATCATTTTCCAAACATCTGTGTCTCTTTTACTTAACTCTTGGAATGTTTGTTTATTTTTTATCGCAATTTAATGTCAAACCGATGATAAATGGGCAGATGAAAATTCAACAGGATGATCTGCAAACATTCC